GAGGTACAATAAAAAGATTCACTTCTATTATAGCTTATGCTACTATTGGTGCAAATGGAGGAATACAATCTATTAATAATACTGGCTTTGGTGACAGTTATATTACTTTCGGTCGCAATATATCTGATTCATCAACGCACACGCAACTTCCACGACCAGAATGCATGTCCAAAGAGTAAGTTAATTTTTTATAAGTAATTATTTTTTTCTTAATTATGTGAAATGCATGATTATAACGCAAATAAATGTATTTCAGCTTAATTCTTGAATCACAAAAAGTAAAACAGCAATTGAAACATCTTGAGAAAAAGATTAATGATTTGAAGGTACTGTTAAAATCTAAATCTTTATATTTACTGTTGTTTATGACAAAAATATTGCAAAAATTAAAATATGTTCAGCTTGCTACACAAGGAGCAACCTTCACAGCTGGAGAAAGATTAGCACAAGAGTTACAAATGATTGAAGCTGGTATTAGAGAAAAAGAAAAGGACGTGCGAAATTGGAGCCCGTATGGTACAGTACCTTGGATTCAATCGTCGAACAATTTACTTAGTTCACAAAATTTCAATCAGGATTATAAACCCGAAGAAGTAAGTTGCAATCTTGTAATTTTAGGTGAAAAATATACCAAACATAACATGTACCAAGTTTCTTACTTCTTAAATAAAAAAGTATAATTAAAATTTTACATGAAACTTAAATTCTTAGGAAGATACCTATGAAGCTGGTATTGCAAATGACATGCGGGAATTAGAATTGCGATGGGAATTTGAACTTCAAGAACAGGAAAAGCATTGGTCGAGTGAAGAGGACAATTCTAAAAAATAATAGTAAGATAATGAGTCTTACTACGTTGTTTACTTCTTAGATCTGACCATTATTTGTTTGATAAAACATGTTGTTTTGACATGTACAAATAATTTTTTGTGCGAACTTCCATGCATCAGCATGTTTCAATTTTTCCAACGGAATGACTGAAAGCAAATGAAGTTTTTACTATTTGCATAAAAAAATGTAATGCTCCTCAAAACAAAATCAAAAGAAAGCAACACAGAATGATGTTTCAAACACTATCAGCAGATACAAAAATTTATCATCTCTATTTTAACTAACATAGAAACCTTATTGTTGGTATAGTATAATGTAAAGTGGATTTACTACTTTCGCATGTATTATGCCGTTAAAAGTCTTGGTATACAATATTCATTCTTTAACTATGGAAATGTATTTTTCCTGGAATTATTACCAACGTAATGTTAAAAAACTAGCTGTAAATATGTAACATTTCGAACAAACTTTGTTAAACGCATCAAATCCTTCATAATGATATAATAACTCATATTTAGTTATGCAGGAAGTCGCATCGTTTTAATTTTTACTAGCTGCAGTAGGAGTTAATTATAAAAATCAGTATAAGAAGTGAGAGTTAGCTGCCGCATTGAAATTACATTTATAGAACCGGTGAAGAGTTGATTGGTGTTCCGTTATGAATATAATGAGGACATTCATTGACAAGCAAATTAAACAGATGAGAGCAGATTTGTTAAAATTTAACAGAAATTAATGTCAGTGTTTTATAAACATGACAGGATGTAGTATATTTTGTTTATATGTTTGCACAATGAAGCAAAGAATATTATATTACTGATACATTCGGAAAGAATGCTATTTAACCTGCAACAAGGTTACATGATAAAAATATACGAATACATATACGTGTTATGCATACCTAAAATTAACATATTCTGTTAAAATTTTGCATAATTAAGATATATAT